GTTACAGTGCTGAGGTAGGGCTGTCTTGTAAACAGTATGGCTTATGCACAGTAATAGTCAAAGTGTTTGGCCTGTAGAATAAAATATTTGCCTCATTCATATGCACTGGTCATCTGTGTGTCCAGTTGTGGTCCCTACACTGTGAGTTAGGGTGACCATCACTGTACTGACAAAGATAATAGTTTAAAATGCATTTCTGGGAGGGAAATGGTAAACTTATAGACAGTTTGGGAAGATCGACTTCAACATGTATGAAGGATTGCTAGAAGAACCGCACTGCACCATGAAGTTATAAGCTAAGCAGAGTGGGAGCTAATTGTTCTCTGAATATAACAAGTAAGACAAGACTACAAGTAATATAAAGAATTGTTCTAGAAAAGAATTAATAACCATTGGGATGTCTGTTGCTGAATAATGTATCTTTTATGTCCAGATGTTTTCTTTGAGTAGAGTTGTTATCCTGTTTAAAGGAAAATAGACGGTGTCACATGCCCTTGTTTTTAGCATTCATAACTTTTTTTCCAGGAGTCTCTTTCTGCTTGTTCCTTTAATCTACTCTCCCTTGTAATCTTTTCTAATAACCCGGGGTTGTTTTAAGTTTTCATTATGTTGTTGATTTGTGGAAATGAAAGTGGCCTCTACAAATATTCCTATTGCCATAATTTCCTTTGTCAAAGCTTTTACTCCATACTGTTCCATCCTATACAAAGGGAGGAAGTTGTATCAGTAACAAATAGCAGTTGGCCTGGGGATGGGGGGAGTTAACCTTTTAGGAATCCTTAAATCTATATTCCACCCTTCACTAGTCACTTAAATTACCCTTATGGGCTTCTTGGCACACACACCCCCATTACTTTTTAATATAGATTGTAGTTGGTCCTGCTTTTTCCCCTTTTCCAGTGACTTCATACACACAGGAAATATGTCTTCAAGCTCTCTTTTGAACCTTTTCAGTTTTACACTTTGGACAATTTGCTAGTTCATTGTTACTTGTTCCAATCTGCAAGCTTCTGAACAGCTGGTAAGAAGAAATAACTTGCCAATTTGGAAAAATTATACATTTCCGCTTGGTGGTATACAGTCAATCTAAACCTCACCCAAAGTTTTTCTACAGGGGCCAGCAGTCTTTTATAACTAGAGTCAAACTAAGATAAACAAAGAGAACTTATTTGCATAGCTGAAAATATGTTAGCAGTAACTGAAAAGTTGTTTAATAATCATAAAATTTCTGTAGTCCAAACATTAGTTACTGTGAGTAATTTAATTTGAAGTAGCACACACAAGGTCTCACAATAAATGCATGCAAGACCACCTTGTCTAATTATTTTAGCACATTGGCACATGGTTTGCACATGAATTACCATCAACTATCCACCTCTATCATTTCCCATTTTGTAAGCATCTCTAATCTTTGCCTGCCATTCCTTTCATGTACTGGTTATTCTAGTGTCCCTTCTACTCCAATATATCTTAACTTAAAAGTTCTTGTTTTCTTAAAGAGGTTGCAGACCTCTCTGGTATTTGGTATAGATTGAAGTCTATGGAACTTTAAGCTATTGTAAATTAGAAGTTATTAGGTGCTCTAGCTCATATTTTTTCTGATGACATAATGGAGCTATATGAATTAACTGTGATGCTTCTCTTTCAATAAAAGATAATAAGCACAACAGAGGAAGTTGAATAAATATGGCTTTAAGGATGTTTCCTTAAGACTTGCAGATAGTCCATTATCTAAGGCTATAAAACATATACACAACTGGGAGCAAGTCCTACTGGAATCTGCATAGTGGTGTTATGGAGTGTGCTGCTATATGGGGCATTGTATTTACCAGTACTCTATCCTCCCATCAGATAAACAGATTGACTTGAGCACTGTGGACTTGAAGAAGCTGAGAGTCAAAGAACTGAAGAAAATTCTAGACGACTGGGGTGAAACGTGTAAAGGCTGTGCTGAAAAGTCGGACTACATTCGCAAAATCAATGAACTGATGCCTAAATATGCACCAAAGGCAGCCAGTTCACGGACAGACCTCTGACCACTGTAGTGGTCTCTAGCACATTAGCACGTCACACACAAACTATGTTAATCTTTCTATTTTCTTTATCGAAAACTTTTTTTGTAACTTATTTAACTGAGTTTGACATGTCGGATTGAAGCGGTTCTTGCAATGCTGGTTCAACTGCCTCATGTCTTTAGTTATTATTTCTCTTGTCTCTGATTTATGCTGAGATATCAACATATGTATGGAATTTTTAAAATAAAGTTAAGAAATCCAGTCTGGTCACTTTGATATTGAGTTGGTTTGAATTTAGTGCAAGTGTTGAAGTCAAAGTAATCTTCAAGTACACACACTACTTGATTGGATATATGTAAGAAAGGTACCTTTTCATTGTTTGAGGCTGCACTGGTTTAAGATGCCACTCTTTAAGATAAAAAGGCTGCTTTACTATCATAGTTGTGAAGACTTGCAGTTTTGTACATTCTTCTGTATTTGGCTTTTTATCCAGGTGGCCTGGACAAGTATAGAATGTCAGGAATTTGAGTGAACAGGCATGCTGTATTTGAATGGGCCTGTGACGTGATCTAAATGAAACTGGATATTCCGTAGGGATTAGCTGAAATTAGGAACAGTGGCATTGTATCCTTTTTATATAAAGGTACAGTGCATAGGCCTGAACAACTGGAATACTAGTGTGTAAACTGACCCTTGTTCAGACCCCTTGTTATTGCTTTCATGAATGTAAGAGCTCACACTCTTTCAGTTCTGTATTTTCTAGCTGGTAATGCAGATAAGAAGTCTAATCTCCAAACATATACTGAAAGAAATGGGGAAATGCTTTCCCTCCTTGCCTGTATACAGGCCCATAGCTATGGTGGGACATTTTGGGGCCTGGCCCCCCAACTTTCTACCAAGGCTCCATGACTTCCAGAGGACTCCTCACCACTGCTGTCCCTTCCCCAAGTTCTTTCAGGGGCAGGGCAGCAGCCCCACCAGCTGCATCCCGGGCTGGTGGTTGCGGGGAGAAGGGCTGTGAGTCCTGAGCTGGCAGCGGGTGGGCCAGCAGGCAAGGTGGAGCCAGGGGGCCTTGACCAGCATTTATCCAAGCCTCCCTCTCTGGTATTCACCCCCATTTGGAGGGGCTTTCTTCTTTCTCAGTACGCAGCCTTCACTTGGATGGGATCGTGCCCTCCCCCTTAGCAGAGGTCAGCTCCCACGGGCCACCCCTCTCTTTGCTACCCTCTTTGGCCCCACTTTTTGATGCATAGGGCGGGTACTGTGGGCCACGGGCGGGGTGTGCCTGAGAACCAGGGGCGACCTTCACCTGATTGCCAGCAGGGTTAGGGAAGAGAAAAGGCTGGCAAGCTGAGGGCAACTTGGAAGGGGGCGGGTTCACCCTTGAGACAAGCTGGGGTGATCATCCCTCTCTGCCCTAGGACCATTGGCATTTCAGCTCCTGAGAGCAGGAGGGGAAGGGAGGAAAGTTGAAAGGAAGGACTCCAAGGCCAGCCAGGTTGACTTCTCCAAAGCCTGCGTCGCTTGCTCATCCACCCCCTCACCCTGTTGCGCCGCCCTGCCAGAGCCTGGCACACCATTCCCTACAGCCACCACATGGGCCTCCATGGATGGAGCAGCTGCCTGCTCCAACTGGTGAGCACAAGATTTTTAAAGTATTTTATTATGTGACATCAGTGCCCCCCAACTTATTTAAAGGCCCCCCAACTTAAAAAAAATCCTGGCTATGGGCCTGCCTGTATGATAGTCTTTAAAGTAAGACAGATGAATTTGAGGTAGTAATTCAGTGTGTGCCAATGCAGAAAGGGAAGATTATGTTTGGATAACTCCCCTTAGATATCTTCTGGGGACTTTATTTTGGGACAATGCATTCATGAGATTCTTAGTGATGGGCAGGAGAGGCACCCCTACACTCTCCTTGAGAAGAACGTAGCAATTCCAATTTTAGAGTTCTATATCTGTTCTTGGAAATGTAAAACATTCTTAAAAATAAGCTGCTAGTATACTTTTGAATAAATACTAACTGAAATATTTTAGTTGAAAGGCACTATTGAAGAAATTTTTGGTTTGAAATGAAATTGCAAAATGTGCAATAGTTGTCACTCTGACAGATGCTTCCAGACCATGTCACAACTCTATACAGAAAATATAATTGGATTAAAAGAGAACTGTCAAACAGTGTAGTGTTTATAATAGGGCTTATTTTACCTTAGCGTTACAGTGAATAATAGAACTAGGAAAAATCTACTGGGACAAGGAAACTTGAAAAATTTAGAAAGTGCTTTCTTAATAGTACAAAATTAAAGTGTAATATAAGTCCTCTGCAAGAAAAAGCAGGGGATAAGAGTTAGCAACTGTATTGTGGATTTTAATGTTTTTGCACCGAGAAGTAGCCATTGTGCAAAGGTTTAAAAATCCTGTATGGTATCGTGGCATTTTTTCCTCTAGTGTGAACGCCTATTTTGGTATGTTTTACGTGTACATTTACACAAGAAACTGTCCAGAGCTTCTTGCTCAGCAGCCGCGTACAGGCTACTAAACAACATACAGACGGCAGGTTGCCAACGTTTCCAGCTTATTATTGCTCATCTGCCTATCAGGCTGACATGTAGTGAAGCAAAATACCGAAAGCTTCACATGTTGTTAAATGCCAAGGGGCAAGAGCCACGGACACAAAATATGGCAGCCTTCGCTTTTTCCACGCGCCATGAGGACGACCGCGGCGAGGCGGGAAAGCGGGCAGTGGAAGGCATCAGGGCGCCTGTAAGCCTCGTCACCCTGACACAGCGACGCAAACGGCGCTTCCTCCCCCGCCCTTTCGACGGCGGGAGGGGAGCGTTGCGTCGTCGCCGCCTGCTGCCGGAGCCATTATAAGCGCGGTGGCCCGTCGCCCGCTGTCTCGCTCGCGGCGGGGACGCGGGCTGATGACGTGAGGGGCGCGCTTGGCGCGGCAACTGGGCAGAGCCGCCTTCGTTCGTTCCCTTTTGTCCAAGATGGCAGCTGCCGCCGGAGGCGCCTCCTGAGCCGCGGGCCCCGGAGCCATGAAGCGGGGGAGCGAGCGGGATTCCAGCCCAGCCGGGTCGGGGGGAACGCGGGGCGCCTCCTCCGCCAAGAGGCCTCGGGAGCGCGAGCGGGAGAGCAGCACCAGCGGCGGGAGCAGCAGC